TGTTAGAATCTGTTTTATTAGAATCTGTTTTATTAGTTGTGATAAGATATTCTAAGATATAGTTTAGATATATTAGTTTATCTTTTCCTAATTTATAGTTTATCTTAATCCCTAAACTTTAGGGATTGTTTCTGTTACATGTTTATTTATTTGATTGTACCCATCAATTCAGAATAATAAGAAAAATTATTCTACTCTAAATTTGAGATGGCATCAGAGCTCTCAAATTCTGGGAGCCGCCTCTGACTGCGCAAACCAAAACCCTAGACTGCAGCCTTCATTGCTGCTGTGATTTGCAGTGTTGTTTCTTAGTTGTCGTCGCAACAATCAAATACATACTCACTGCATTAGGGTCGTTGTTCTACGGGGGACATGGCAGACCCAATTGCTGAAGTGGTGAATACTGAGTCTCATAACACTCAGGAACAGCTGCAGAACCTCAACACTGCCTACCGATTGAATGGGAAGAATTACTTGAAATGGGCCCAGCTTGTTCGTAGAACTTTGAAAGGTAAAGGGAAAGCTAACCACTTGACTGAAGATGCTCCTAAGGAAGAAGATCCCAAATTTACAAAATGGGATGAAGAAGACTCTATGATCATGGCATGGCTATGGAACTCCATGATCCCAGAAATCACTGATACTTGCATGTTTCTTAATTCTGCAAAGGAGATTTGGAATGCCATGGAGCAGACATACTCCAAAGCTAAAGATGCTGCTCAAATATATGATGTGAAGGTGAAGACTGTGGCTGCAAAACAGGGAAACAAGACTGTTACAGAGTATGCCAATCAACTCAAATCCCTGTGGATGGAGTTAGACCATTACAGGGTCATAAAAGCCAAGTGCTCAGATGATTCAGCAATGCTCAAAGAGTATATTGAGCAAGATAGAGTCTATGATTTCTTGGTAGGGCTTAACTCTGATTTTGATCAAGTGAGAGTCCAGATCCTTGGAAAAGAAAAAATTCCAGGAATTAATGAAGTAGTAGCTATGGTCAGAAGTGAAGAAAGTAGAAGGGGAATAATGCTAGAAACCCCAGCCATGGAAAATTCAGCCATGGTAGCTTCAGAATCAGCCATGATGGTAGACCAGAAAAAGGGGGGAATAGCTAATATGGAGAAGAAAGGTGAAGGAGTGTGGTGTACCTTCTGTAACAAGCCTCGCCACACTCGTGAAAAATGCTGGAAGCTGCATGGAAAGCCACCTAGTAAGGGTTGGGGGCCCCAAAACCGAGACAAGGAGTGGGGAAAAAAAGGAGACAACACCAGAAAGGGAGGACAAGCACACATAGGTGCTGCCACCAGTGAAGAAAACAGAGGAGTGATTCAACTTAACCAAGATGAAATAGAGCAGATGAGATCATTCCTCAACAAGTTGGATAAGTCAACAGGTACTTGTTCTCTGGCACATTCAGGTATGTTTCCTTTTTCTTTTGGACTTAATGCCTCAGATAAAAACTATAACCCATATTGGATACTAGATTCTGGGGCTACCGACCACATGACACCCCTACCTAAACATTTCTCTTCCTACACCCCTTGCCCTAGCAACAAGAAAATATCCACAGCAGATGGCTCTCTGATGACTGCAGCAGGTCAAGGAGAAGTTCAAATAAGCCCATCTATAACCCTTAAAAATGTCCTTCATATTCCTAAACTGTCTGTCAGTTTGATTTCCATAAAAAAGCTCATAAAAGACCTATCATGTAATGCCATATTTTATGACAATGTTTGTATATTGCAGAACAAGTACTCGGGGAGGACGATTGGACATGCTAGAGAATGGAATGGCCTTTATTACTTGGATAATCCGGATTTGCCACCAGACCTGGAAAACAACAACTCTTTTTTCTCTGATTCAATGAAGGCCAACAGGGAGAAGATCTTCCTACATCACTGTCGTCTTGGACATCCTTCCTTTAGAGTCATAAAATTGTTATTCCCTTCCCTTTTTAGCAAATTAGATGTTGAAAGTCTCCATTGTGAAGTGTGTGAGCTTGCTAAGCACAAGCGTGTACCTTTTCCAGTTAGTAATAATATGAGCACTTTTCCCTTCTATTTAATTCATACTGATGTGTGGGGTCCCTCAATTGTCCCAAATGTTTCTGGTGCCCGTTGGTTCCTCACCTTTATAGATGATTGTACTCGTGTCACATGGGTCTTTTTACTAAAACAAAAATCCGAAGTCAGCTATGTAGTTCAGCGTTTTTTCTCCATGGTAAAAAATCAGTTTGGAGTTAGCATTAAGAGGATTAGATCCGATAATGCCAAAGATTACTTTAATCATGGACTTATTTCCTTTTGTCAAAAGGAAGGTATCATTCATGAGTCATCCTGTGTCAAAACACCTCAGCAAAATGGGATTGCTGAGAGAAAAAATGGTCACCTACTTGACCAAACTCGGGCTCTTCTTTTTCAACATGAGGTTCCTAAAAGGTTTTGGGGGGAGGCTGTTCTTACTGCATGTTATCTAATTAATAGACTACCTTCTAGTATTCTAGCCTCAAAAAGCCCTATGGAGGTTTTGTCCTCCTTTTATCCTAATGTTTCCACATCCAATCAACTTATTCCAAGAATATTTGGGTGTGTGTCTTTTGTCCATGTCCACAATGATAATAGAGGTAAACTTGATCCTAGAGCCTTAAAATGTGTTTTCATAGGATACTCATCCACACAAAAGGGATATAAATGCTATCACCCACCATCACGAAAATTCTTCGTGTCCAGAGATGTCACATTTTTTGAGCACAAAAGCTACTTCCACCAAGATCATCCTCAAGGGGAGACTGCAAGAAAGGAAGATGATCTTCTTATGCTCCCTGACTTAAGCTTGGGACCAGAAATAGGGACTAAAGGTGTAACAACTGAGAAGGAACCCACTAAATCCATTCAAGATGGAGCTGATGTAAGATTTGGAAAAGGACTGGTTTATACAAGGAAGACAAAGGCCATTCCAGAATCTGTCCATGTCCAACAATCCAACCCAACATTACATGAGGTAACTACCCCTGATCCTTTAATCTCCACAAAATCAACCTCTGATTTCCCAACTGTACAGGAACTTGAAACCAGTCCAGCACCACTTTATGAGGACCTAGATATTCCAATTGCCCTTAGGAAAGAAACCAGGAAATGTACCACCAAGCCACTGTACCCTCTAGCCAATTATCTATCCTTTAGAAACTTCTCACCTACCCATAAAGCCTTCCTCACAAGCCTAAACACTACAACAACACCTACCTCTTTATCTGAGGCATTGAGTGATAAAAAATGGAAACAAGCCATGGATGTGGAAATGGAAGCATTAGAGAAGAATAGTACTTGGGATTTGGTTGCTCTCCCAAATGGAAAAAAACCAGTAGGGTGCAAGTGGGTATATACTATAAAATACAAGGCTGATGGATCCATTGAGAGGTACAAAGCAAGGTTAGTAGCTAAGGGATTCACTCAAACCTATGGAGTGGATTACATGGAAACATTTGCACCAGTTGCAAAAATGAATACAGTTAGGGTGATATTGTCCCTAGCGGCTAATTATGGTTGGAACTTGCAACAATTTGATGTTAAAAATGCCTTTCTCCATGGAGAAATTGAAGAGGAGATTTACATGGAATTGCCCCCTGGATATGGTGAAAAAACAGCTGCCAACACTGTTTGCAAGCTAAAAAAGGCATTGTATGGGCTGAAACAATCACCACGAGCGTGGTTTGGAAGGTTTACTAAAGTTATGATAAGTTTAGGCTTTAAACAAAGTCAGGGAGACCACACTCTGTTCATTAAACACTCTAAGTCAAGGGGAGTAACAGTGTTACTGGTTTATGTGGATGATATTATAGTGACAGGTGATGATGAGGAAGAGCAACGATTGTTAGGCCAACATCTAGCCAAGGAATTTGAAATTAAGACCTTGGGAAAATTGAAGTATTTTTTGGGAATTGAAGTGGCCCATTCTAAAAAGGGGATATTCATATCTCAACAGAAATACATCACTGATTTGTTGAAAGAGACTGGTAAGACAGCATGCAAGCCTGCAAGTACACCAATTGACCCAAACCTGAAATTAGGAAACGCAGAAGAAGATACTGCAGTTGACAAGGAAGGATATCAAAGGCTAGTTGGTAGACTGATATATTTATCTCACACTAGACCTGATGTTGCATTCGCCGTGAGTCTAGTCAGCCAGTTCATGCACCAGCCAAAGGAGGTTCACTTACAAGCTGCACTAAGAATTGTGCAGTATTTGAAAGGGACCCCAGGCAGGGGAATTTTATTCAAACGAAATAGGAATGTAAATCTGGAAGCATATACAGATGCAGACTATGCAGGGTCAATTGTGGATAGGAGGTCAACTACGGGATATTGCACTTTCCTTGGAGGGAATCTTGTGACTTGGAAGAGTAAAAAACAGAGTGTGGTAGCCAGATCCAGTGCTGAAGCAGAGTTCAGGGCAATGGCACAAGGGATATGTGAACTACTCTGGCTGAAGATTATCTTGGAAGACCTAAGGATAAAATCGGATGAACCAATGAGACTTTATTGTGATAACAAATCTGCTATTAGCATAGCTCATAATCCGGTGCAACATGATAGAACCAAACATATTGAAGTTGACAGACATTTTATCAAAGAAAAATTAGATAGTGGTCTGATATGCACTCCATATGTCTCCTCACAAGACAACCTTGCAGATATTCTAACAAAGGGGCTGAACAGCAGCATCTTTGAGAAGATTGTTTCCAAGCTGGGAATGGAGAATACCTATTCACCAGCTTGAGGGGGAGTGTTAGAATCTGTTTTATTAGAATCTGTTTTATTAGTTGTGATAAGATATTCTAAGATATAGTTTAGATATATTAGTTTATCTTTTCCTAATTTATAGTTTATCTTAATCCCTAAACTTTAGGGATTGTTTCTGTTACATGTTTATTTATTTGATTGTACCCATCAATTCAGAATAATAAGAAAAATTATTCTACTCTAAATTTGAGACTTGTGTATGTCTTGCAAGCCCCTTTCCACCTGTTCCAACCGAATCTCCATTTTCTTCTCCATTCTTGATCGCCTCAGGTTCGCAACCAGCTCTGATGCCAGTTGATAGGTCTCAATTGGATATTAAGAGAGAATTGGAAAATAACGAAAGGTTGTGGTATTATTGCTCTTGAGTCCTTGCTGTCAACACAACCAGAAGGACACAATACAGTGAACTAGGCAATTCGAGAGTGCCTATCTCTCCCATAATACAATACTTCCCAAATGCCTTCCTCCCCCTTATTCCCTCCTATTTATACAATTTAACAGTCCCTACCCGACTGTCATCAGTTAGTTACAAAAATAACTAACTACCCCCCTTTTCCCTCCTAACATAGACCTGTTTAACCACAGGTCCCCTATCAAAATGCAAGTGGGTGAACATTTAAAAGTTGCAATCCTAGAGGTAGTGGAATGTATCTTGATTCTTGGAGAACTCCACTATCAGTTATGAGAGGCTATGTGGAGAGGTGGGACACTTAAAGTCCACCAAGTCACATTCATGAACCCTTGGTATATAAGAATCCATTTGAAAAGAAGTGGCACCACTCCAAGAAGAAGGGGGATCATGTGAAGGGAGGAGAATTCCAAACAGGAGAGATGTGAACAAAGAGATGTGAGAAGATCTCTTGTGACAAGGGTGTTATCTTTCCTTGTATTTTTTGAGTGGGAGACTCGGGTTTGTAGGGGTGATACATTCTTTGGGGAGGGTTTTTTTAAGTTTGTCCATAAAACTTGTAATTCTTCTTTTGAGATAGTAAATATTGTTGAGATGTTTACTTGGATGTAGGTAAGAGGTTCCAAATATTGTTAAATTTGTACCTTTTTCTATTTCTATATGTGGTGTGTTTTGTGTGTTTCGTCTAAGATCCATTAGCCTGTGCAGTTTTTCCCAACATGATAGAGATGAACAGGACAGAGGTGACATCGGTGGAAGAAACTCTAGGATTTTTGCTGCTGGAATTTATCAACAATTAACAGTGAAGCAGAAGACAGTTGCTAAAGAATGGTACCACTCTGATAATGATACCATGTTCAAAATAAAGGGTTTAGGCAGGGAAGGTGGAAAAGAGAGAAGAGAGTAAAGAGACTTTGAATAATATGATATTGTGTTATTGACGTTGTGCAAAATACAAAGTTCTGAACCCTATTTATACTAGTACTAGACTCCTCTCCCTAATTCAATCAAATAAAGAACCAAGCTAAGAAATATAATGAAATATGATGAAACCACTAAATCTCTATCATATGCAATACTCTAAAAACTTTTGACACAACCAGCATATTCTGAGATCTAGATATTCCAACAGGCCCTTCATTCTAGTAGAAAGTGAAATTTTAACAGGTTGGCCTGACCTGTGCATAGTCCACACTTCAAGATCAAATGGCTCTTAGGTGAAGGGTGTTTGAGTTGTAAAATCATTCATGAGTCTTAACAGTTTGAGTTTCTGGAAAGTTGGTCCTTGACAGGTTCCTTGTTATCATTAGAAGTTTCTAATGGAAAGCAAGATTTCATGACCCAATTAGAAAACTTTTAAATTACAGGGATCCAGTAAATTTATGGTTGGGTCCTTTAGTTTCATCAATTTTAAATGGGTCCTTGTATTCAGCTTACAATTAACAGTTCTTGAATGGAAGGTACCCCATTATAAGTTTATGGAATTTTGATGACCCAATTACCAACTTTGAAAATATAAGTACCTTATAGGAAATCCCCAGAAATTAAAGGGACTCATAGATTGATGTTTTTGGTTCAATAATTGAGTTGTTTAATTTGACTGTATGATGTCATTTTCTTGTAGCTTGGGATTGTTCTGCTTGGTTACGTACATATGCCTTATATTTGGAAGAAAGACTTGAATGTTTCTGGATTCTGAAGTATGATATTGAAGCTGAGCGTCTACCTAAGCCTGTTGCCGGGCAGGACAAGGTGATTCTCTCTCTCTCTCTCTCTCTCTCTGCGATAAAATAAGAGTTTTATTTTGATGGAGTGAATGGGAAGGTAATTTCATTAAGCTTCATAAGTGTAGATTATTTTATGCATTTTATTTTTTTTTCTTTAAGTTCTCAGACCTGCATGACTGTTTATATATATATATATAGAAAACTTTGTTTTGTTGGTGTTGTATGTTGTTGTAGCTTTCTGGGAAAATTTATAGGTATTTGCCATTAGTTATTTAGCAACATAGAATTCTTACATGAGACATGGTTATCCTGCTGCATATGATGGTTGTTGATCCTGTGGCAAGTATACTAAAGTTGACTTGTAACATTGATGAATAAGGTCCTTTCTTCAGGGTCTAGGTTGATTGATTGATTCTCAACTAGTTTAGATAAGCAGGAAATAAATATATACACTATATTTACTCAATTTCATTGTTTGATTCATTAAACTAAAAGTTCAAATTGATAAAACTTAAAAGGACTGACAAGCTAATGTTCAAGTAGTAAGGAAATTCACATTCAAGAAGCTTGTGATTGGATTTCGCTTATTATACCTCTTTGTGATCTTGAAACTATATATATGTTAATCACTCTTTCACTATTTTGATTAGGATTAAATTCACTCAATATCAATTCCTTGATAAAGAGATTAGAAGATTTCTCTATTGAATACCAATCCCTTGCATATTCAAGAGAGAAACTTGCATTAAGAAAAACTCTTTTTAAACTACGAATCTAAGCTTTATTCCTAGCAACTTGGGTTGGTAGGCATTTTATTTCAAGTCTTGATTTAGAAAACATTTTATAGTTTAATTCCAAATCTAAAGTCAATTTACGAATGATCAAAACGTAAATGCTTTAAGAACTGAAATGAAACCATAAAATAATGAAAAGATCATAACACATATAAAGATTAAGAGTCACATAAAGTACAATAAGTTACATTCAATTCCATAAGGAAAAGCTTAGCTATTCATTTCCATGAGGGCCAACTAACAAAAGAAGGGAAGAAAAATCTAGTAGAAATTGCTGTCGTTCCCGAACCGTCGAAATCGTCATGAAATCTTCAACATGGATGGTCTTCGAGGATAGAGACTAATAGTGATAGGCGAGGTGTAAAAGTATAGAGAGTTATCTTGGGTTCTCCTTTTTCCCTTTTAATATGTTCTAATTTGTAATAGGAGATTATTTGCTACCACAAATTGGTTAAGTCCTTTAGGAATACTTCACCCTAAAGAAAGTAGAAATGGCTTAAGCCTTTCTTTTGACATATTGTATTAGAGAAGAGAATAGGATAATAAATACTTTTATTTGTTGTATTATTTACATGTATTTTCTGATTGTATTCTGTTAACACTCTTAGGTTAGTTAGTCTTGTTGACTTACTAACTTTTGAGTTAGTTAAGTCCGTTAGGTCTATATATATGTAGGTGATACCTTTCATGTATCACTTTTGTCAAATTCACTCTTATTCAATAATATTCTCCTTAAGAATTCTTTCTCTCATATGGTATCATCGTGAGCACGGTTCGTTCCGTTTCTCTGCCCAAATCGCCGTCGTGTCTGGTCATCATCTCCGTCGTGCCTGGCCCTCGCGCTGCTCGTGTTCATCGCGTTTTTCTCTTCGCCATTGCTTGCGCGATTGTCGTGCCTCATTGTTTGCGTTTCTCGCGCGATTCCCTTGCTGTTGCTCGCGCGATTATTGCGCCTCACCGTGGTTGTTGCTTACGCGTTTGTCGCGTCTCGTTGTTCTCTTCGCTCGCGCCTCTGATTGTTACGCAATTTCTTGTCTGTATTGATCCAATGGCTTCTTCTTCTTCTGATCATTCTGCTTCGCATACCTTTTCTCAATCCGTTACGTGCAAATTGGATGACAAAAATTTCATGACCTGGCAACAACAGGTCACTGCTGTGATTCGCGCCCATGACCTTGAACGTTTCGTTGTTAATCCAAAGATTCCGCTCAAGTTCTTGACTGCTGAAGATTGTGACTCAAACACCATCAATCCTGAGTATACTGTCTGGGACCGCAAAGATTCTTTGCTCTTTTCTTGGCTGCTTTCAACACTTTCAAAATCCATTTAGGCTCGTGTCGTCTCCTGTCGACATTCTTATCAGATTTGGGACCTTGTATTTCAACATTTTCACTCTCACCAAGATTAAAGCCGCTCAACTGCGTCTTGAGCTTCGCACGATCAAGAAAGGGACACGACCGTACTCTGAATATCTCCTTCGCATCAGTACCATCATTGAAATGCTGGCTTCAATTGGTAATCCTGTTTCACCTCGTGAGCATGCTGAATGCATCATTGGTGGTCTTCCACCTGAGTATGACTCGCTGATTTCCACAGTTACTGCCTTTGCTAGCAGGGATGACACTTTTTTCCCTGCAGAACTTGAGAACGTCATTCTTGCTCAAGAAGCTTGTCTTGACCAAGCAAAGATCGCTGTTCTTTTAAGAACCTGTAACAATCAATCTTGCCCAGACTGTTTCTGTTCCTCAAGTGCCTCCTAGTGCCAACCTAGCCTTCCAACAACCTCAGCTGACTCACCCTCAACCTAACACGTTTCAGAATTTCCCTGCTCAGACCAGAGAAGGTGGTCGTGGTCGCCGTGGTGGTCGGAATCGTGGTTCTCCGGTTCAATGTCAAATTTGTCACAAACGTGGTCATGAAGCTTCCACGTGTTATCAGCGGTTTACTCCAATGCTTGCATCTTATCCTCCTTTGGCTCAGGTTCCGTCTATCCTCCTCGTACTGGTGCTGTTCCACAGTTTGGCACTACAAATATGCTTGGTTTCTCTGGTCAAGCTTCGTGGCCTACCTACACCGTGGGTGGCTCCTTTGGGTCTACTCTTTCTGGTTTCTATCTTCCACCACCTGGCTTCACTCTTCCTACGTCATCACCTACTCAGCAAGGCTATTCTGGTGCTAATTCCTCTGTTCCACGGGCAGCGCCAACTCTGAACACTGCCACAGCTTGGATCCCTGATTCTGGTGCATCTCACCATGCCACTCCGGATCCTCAACAAAGTGCTCAGTTTACCGGAGCTGAGCACATTGCTATGGCCAATGGCCAAGGTACATCTATTACTTCTATTGGCTCTAATGTGTTTAGGTCCCCCTTTCATCCTTCCACAGTTCTCTGCCTTAAAGATCTATTACTTGTCCCTACCTTAACGAAAAATCTGATTAGTGTCTCTAAATTTGCCAAAGATAATAATGTCTATTTTGTGTTCTATCCTCATTCATGCTTTGTCAAATCACAGGATTTGAACGAGACTCTTCTTGAGGGCAAGCTTGGTGAAGATGGTCTCTATCATTTTCATCCAATTCTTGCAAAGAGTAACACCAACTCTGGCGGCATACCCAAGCATCTTGCTTTTCTTAATTCTGCACCCTGTATTTTTGTTTCTGAACAATGTAAAAATGTTGTTTCCAATACTTACAAACAGTGGCATTTACGATTAGGGCATCCTCATCATGATGCACTAATCAAAGCTCTACAATTGTGTAACATTCGCATTCCTCATGTTAATAAAATTTCCAACTTTTGTGACTCATGTTGCGTGGCTAAATCTCATAAACTCCCTTCTAAAACCTCAACCACTGTTTATTCTAAATCTCTTGAACTTGTTTTTCTTGATGTTTGGGGACCTGCATCATTAGACTCCAGTTGCGGTTATTTGTATTTTTTGACGTGTGTTGATGCTTGCACTAGATATGTATGGATTTATCTTCTTCACCTAAAGTCCGAAGTGCTCTCTCACTTTCTCAACTTCAAAGCACTTGCTGAAAAACAATTTCAAACTCCAATTAAGGCGGTTCAAACTGATGGTGGTGGTGAGTTTCGTCCCTTAGTTCCGTTTTTACAAAAAGAAGGCATAGTTCATCGACTTACCTGTCCGTACACTCATCATCAAAATGGCATGGTTGAAAGACGCCATCATGATATCGTTGAACTGGGCTTGGCTATGCTTCATCATGCTTCGTTACCACTCAAATTCTGGGATCATGCTTTTCTGACTGCTGTCTATCTTATTAATCGGCTCCCCTCTTCATCTATTGATCATCATTCACCTTATAAACTGATTCATCACAAAGAACCTGATTATCAATTTCTAAAAGTCTTTGGCTGCTCCTATTTTCCATTACTCAGACAAAACAATTAGCATAAAATTCAACCTCGGTCAGAGGAGTGCCTCTTCTTGGGCTACTCTCCTACTCACAAAGGCTACAAGTGCTTAAGCAAGTCTGGTTGCATCTACATCAGCAAAGATGTAGTGTTTAATGAAGACAGATTTCCATACAAGGATCTTTTTGTCTCTAAATCTATCTCGTCTGCCCCTACCACCTCTGTCTCCACTATTCCATCTCTCATCAATCCCAATTTCTCCTCCTTTAACCCACCTCCACCTGCTCTACCCGAGAGCTCTGCTTCTTCAGATGATAGTTTCCCACGTTCTCAATCTGCCTCTGTTGATTCTCGACTTCCCTCACCTATTTCATCATCCAACACCTCTGCTGCCTCTGCTTTAGCCTCTGAACCGGCCAGACCTCTTAACCTTCATCCAATGACCACACGCTCCAAACATGGTATTGTTCAACCAAGACTAAACCCCACACTTCTTCTTTCACATGTTGTGCCTAAGACAGTCAAAATTGCTTTAGCTGATTCTCATTGGCTTGCTGCCATGCAAGCTGAAATCACAGCCCTACATAACAATAACACCTGGACCTTATCTACCCTGCCTCCTGGCAGAAAACCCATTGGCTGCAAATGGGTTTTTCGTGTCAAGGAGAATCCTGATGGCTCCATAAATAAATATAAGGCTCGACTCGTTGCCAAAGGCTTTCATCAACAACCTAGTTTGGATTTTTCTGAAACCTTTTCTCCTGTTGTGAAACCCGTGACCATTCGCGTTGTTCTTTCTCTTGCTGTCTCCTTTTGGTGGCCCCTTCGACAGCTTGATATTAATAATGCCTT